ATGAGAACCTATATTTTGTGCGTCAACTACCTCCCTTTAACTTCCTCGCCTATTAAGATATCAAGTTATTAACGAACAATTCTGTGAAAAAAGGAACCTAAAATTATCTTTAACAGATTCTCTCTGCCTCGAAGAGTGCCAGAAACAGCTACGATCACTTTATGAAACCAACAGTAAAGTCAAAATCGTTCCGTGGGACCAATGCTCTGCCGTTCCTATCGATGAAATTTACACCCAGTTGTCTTGGCTTATGGATGAGAAGAAGCCCAGCGGACTAACACAGAAGAAACTTGAATGCTACACCGACATTTTTGGGGGCGGAAGACTTAATTATACGCCTAAGCGCATTTTGGTCCACGGACGACCAGGTATCGGCAAGACCGTTTTTACGCAGAAAGCTGCATTCGACTGGTCCCAGCACAGATTTCATGGAAAGCTAGGTAGATTTGATCTCGTACTTTTGGTTAAATTACGCGATGTTTGTAACCTCAACGATGTCCCAGCCGTTCTGAGCAATGCTAATCTTCTCGCGAGTGATGGTCCAATTTCCACTGACAACCTGTACGATTACGTTCGTCGCCATCAAGAAAACGTGTTGCTTATTTTGGATGGCTACGATGAATACGTACACAGCGCAGAAAGAGAATCACCTGTTCTTAAAATCTGGGAGAAAAAGCAGTTGAGGGATTGTTGTGTTATTATAACGTCTAGAGACATGAAAGGAGAGGGGATGAAAAGTTCCAGCGATGCTCAATTTGAGATTGACGGTTTTGACCGTGAGCGACAGGAAGAGTTCGTCCGCAGATTCTTAGAAGATGATCAAGATGTTAAAGAGTTTTTTCAATACTTAAAGCAACAAGACTTAAACGATGTAGGAAAAATACCTATTTTGCTTGTGATGTTGGTGTTGGTTTGGAACGAAAAGGATTGTGGAGGACTACCTTCATCACGAGCGATGATTTTTGAGCAGTTTATACAGACTATGTTTAATCATAATATGTCTGAACGAAAAGAAAAGCAGGCGGAAAAATTTGACGACCACAAAGAAGAACTCTGTAAAGTAGGAGAACTAGCTTTTGACGCACTTCTACAAGATTTACTTTATTTTCCTGTCAGTAAACTGGCGGATCACGTTTTGACTGAGAAACTGATCAAGGCCGGGTTGTTTCAGCTGCTAAACATGTCCGCTCTTAATCCGTGCAAAGGCGTGCACTTCATTCACAAATCCATGCAGGAGTTTTTGGCTTCTTTATTTCTAAAAGAAGAACTGTTATCTCAAGAAAGTAAAAGCAATCCTCTCTTCAAAGTCGATTCAATTGAAAAGATCTTTAAGTTGAATGAAGTTTTTAAATTTGCTGCTGAAATGTCAGAAAAAGCCGCGCGCGAGATCTTGATCTATCTGTTGGGAATGGCGGCGAAGGAAGACGGAGAGTACAGCCTCGACAGCCAAACACCGTCAGCGTCAGATTTGCCAGAAAAACAAACAGATCTTTTAACTTTATGTACACAGTTTTTCTTCCACTGCTCAGCACACACTAGAAAAGAACTTTTCCCCACTTTTCTTTCTAATCTAGGAGGTGTTTTCATTTTAAATCCTGACCAGCTGAACATCGCAGCAACGGAAAATTTTGTTAAAACTACCGCTTCAATTACGTACATATTTTTCTCTGATAGCGACAAGTATACAGAGCAAAGTTATAATAACTTAATAAGTCTAGCACAACAATTAAACGCCGTTATAGTTAGTAGAACAGGAGAACAGAAAGCATCAGAATTTTTGAATGTATTTCCATGGCGTAGAGTAGACGAGTTTTTTTTAATGGGAGAAGAAAACAATTCTTACCTTTATTTTACTAAAATTGTAAAAAAGCAATATGATGGCATCCCTTCTTTTCCATGTAAAATGGTAAAGGCGTTAGTTAGTTTAGATGAGACAACAAAGAGGAAAAACATGAATGGTGATGAGTCAAGTGAAGAGAGCAGGAGCAGCTGTTGTTCAAAGCGTCATGGTCTCTCCAGGGTTCGTGATATTTATGCTGGATTTGTGTACAGGTCAGAAGTGGAACTGCTGGGTGAGATGATGCCGTTTATCACCGCTCCACACGCGATAGCGGTTTGGGGTAAAGACGGTGAAGTGTACGATGCTGAGTTAGCAGAGTCTCTACTGAGGGGCATCCGACCAACACACAAACTGAAGTTCTTAGCAATCGGTGGAATCAATGTGACATCATCACCTGCTGTCGAGTTCATCAACTTTTTATTTAAACAATATCTTCCAAACTTGGAATCGCTCTACATGTCAAGGAATCCTCTTCTGGGTGCAGGAGTCAGCAGCTTGATTAACCGTCTCAGCTGCGCTCCTCACCTGAAGACACTAGACCTTGTAGAAGTGAAGATGACTCCACAGCAGGTGAAGGATCTCACATCTGCGATACAGCAGCACGGCAACATCACTTGGCTGTACTCATCCTACCACGTAAGTTTTCCAATTTTATCGTAATTTGTTTCTTTATCCTTTGTTTACGGTTTATTTCTAATCAGCTCTTGCCTTTCGCCATTTTCTTTTCTTTGTCATTTTTATACTCGACAAAACACGAGATTTTGTATTTGAAATCCAATCAGAAACTTAAGCAGATTCAAAGTATCATTTCAAATTCATCTCTTTCAACTGATTAAGCTAACTCCATAACATGTTTTAACAGAGAACGTTAAGAACAAGTAACTTCAGCTGATATTAAAACATGGAGTTGAACACAAGAAGGAAAATTTCGTTTCTTCAAGCAGCCATAAGGTGATATTATTGGGCGAAAACAACACTGAGAACTTCCAGCTAAACAAAAGCGCATAATTTCCACAGTATTAATTTCTGAATCAATTTTAATTCATACAGTTCATAAAGTAACAAACAACAATCATAAAAGCAAATGAAAGATGTTCAGTTCATGTTCAACGCAAACAAAAAAGCTTAATTAGTGTGCTATTTGAAAAAAGTGAACAGTAAACACGTTGAACTCACAGCTTTACCTTTATCGTCCTGGGCCCCTACAAAATCAGTTTAAGTCGAATGAAGTTTTCTTGAAAGTCCAGAAAACAAAGAAGTCTTTTTTTATGGCTGTTCTTTTGTTTGTTAGTTCTTGCGTTTCTTTGGCAAATGCTGGTTCTTGAAGTTCGGTGAAGCGTTGTTTTTTGGAATTGTTTCTCGAAGACAACGGTTGAAAGCAACACCAAAAAAATTTTGTCACAGGTAAACACTTCGCTGTTCTCCACTGTAAAGCAAAAGTGCCCATTTTTTCATCGCGTAAGTAGCCTAATGTTTTCAACTTTCCAAGAACACTCGCCATACAAATCAAATCCTGCGGAGCTTTGCGCTGTCGTAAAATATCCCTATAAATGATGTTTCCTTGAGCTTTTAACAACTCCTTCGCAAAGAGTAAAAATAGGTGAATCCTTGCCGTATGTAACATTTCCTTGATGTTTTCTCATTAAGACGGAATGCACCTGGAAATTGAGTAATTTTAATTCTCAGTGAACAAAAACCTTGCACCAGAATAATTTAAAGAATATTGCTTTCTTTTTTACATTTTTCAAGGGCTAAAAATGTAATTAGTCATCTGTAATAACACTAAAGAAAATCTTTCGTTAGAGTCCGAGAAAATGAATGTCACATTTCACAACAATTGTGAAACACAGGTTAACGTCGCCGTGGAAAAAAACTACGCAGTTCCTATACAGCACTATATTAAATTCAAACGCAAAGAAAGACAACACTCGATATTGGCGTTATAGGGGGAACACCGCTCCTCTATCGGCGTGACGTTCGACTTCTTCATGTGACAAAAGCGTGACTAGAGCCCAGCCTATCTCCCAAGCGGAGTGTACCGCACTGGATCGGACCAGTAGGACCAAAAACCTCAAGCAACCAAACATATTACATGGCAAAATAGCGCTAAGTCGCCGAAAACACTTCAAAACGGCCTGAGACGCGGGCAAACAATAAAGAATACAACAAGGCAATAATGTAAGTCGATTTTATTTAAAAACATAACATTTTTTCTCTCTTTTAAGAAAAACCGTTTACATCCTATACAAGGCTTTGTAAATAACCGTTTGTAACACAACACCGCTGGCGAGCAAGAGTCAAGTCCGCGTTCCTGTAGTGAGCTTGGGCCGCCTCTGGTTGCGGGGCGTCAATAAAACCAGGAACATGGAACATTCCGGAACATGCAAAAATAAAAATAATTTTCATGAAAATAAATAAATAAAATAATAATAATAATAAAATAATTTTTATAAAAATTAATAATAACTTAAAATAACAAAAAACCGAAAGAGAAAGAAATAAAGAAAAAGAAACTCGTATCATCTCCGGGTATGAGAAAACAATATTTTGTCGCAAATAATTTGAGGGGCGAGGGTCTATGGAAATGACAGTAATGAGTGAGGGTTTGCTTCTAAATTCAAAATATATTCAAATGGGTCGCGAGGAGGGGGGTTTTTAAGCTTTACTCACACAGCCGGCTACCTCTTGTAAATGTTTGCCATGCGATTTAACGGTTATTCATTTACGGCTTTGCGACCGTAAGAAGAGCTTAGGGGCTCGTCGCTTTGGACTTTAGTAACTTAATTACCGACTCGGCTTGACATGACATACTGCACCGACATTTCAGACCATAGCAGAACCGTAAATGGTTAACCGCCAAATGATTAACTCATGGCAAACAATTAGAAGAGGTAGCTGTGTGAGTAGAGCTTGAAAACCCCCCTCCTCGCGACCCATTTTAACAATAACCATTCCCGAGAGCTCTGGCGCGTCACTCTCCATTAACTGCGATTTACTGTTTCACTGTAAATCTTTATAAAATTCCATGTGTAAGATGTAGTTTTGTGAAATTTGACATTCATTTTCTCGGGTTACCATGAGAAATTTCCTTTGGTGTTATTGCAGATGACTAATAACAACTTTAGCCCTTGAAAAATGTAAACAAGAATTCAATGTTCTTTAAATTATTTTGGTACAAGGTTTTTGTCTACTGAGAACTAAAATGGCTTCTGTCTTAAATTTGAGTTCATCCCAGAGTTCATCCTGAACAGTTTGCCGTTGAAGAGCGAACTGAACAAACTACAAAAACAACAAACGATGTCATTCAAAGCCTAGTGACGTGGCGATAGCTGATTGGTTAAATCCACCTCGGATGATTTGTCGCGTGGTTGCATTTTCGTTAGTTGCCTTTCGTTTGATTACGTAACGAATTCCCGTCCACAAAAACAAAAAATTCACTGTGATCTGTGAGTTTTGTGGGGCAGAATATTTTGGAAAGAAATAATTTTTAACACTCCGTTTCTGTCATTAACAAACTTCCGACTACGGCTGTCTACTCTCTCTCTCTCTCAGAACGCACTCAGTCATGTATAGACCACGAGAGGCCTGTTTCAGGCGTTCAGAGAGTGCAGACGGCGTAAAAAGAACAAAGGGCGAGAAAACGGCGAGGGGTTTTAATAGGGGACCTCTCTCCCTCCCTTGCGATTTCTTTTTACGCTCCTCTTATCATTATTTCGTGCCACTCCCCACTATCTGAACGCCTGAAATATGGTAGCCAAAGGCGTCTTATATATGTTTTCGTGGAAAAATAAATGCTTTTCCTTTTACAGCGAAAACTTCTTAGCTGTTTGGCAAATCTCGCTGATGTCATCTTTTAACATTTTGTTCCTACCATACCTACTGGCTGTTAAAAAAATCAGTGTTTTACGCAGATTGGTAGATCAACAAAAAAATTGGAAAAAGTCGAAGTGATGTATGATTTGTAAAAAAACAGCGGATTATTTCCTTCACGATCAAGCGATCGGTGTAGTAAACACCCGCGAATAAGAAGCTAGTGGATTAAGAATCCCCTGAGCCAAGCAAGATCAAGCAGGTTCTTATATGTTGGTTACAGTTAAATTACGATAAACAATTTAACCAAAGACTGTAACTTTCAAATTGCAAATTAAAAGTATAACAAGAACATACTCTCATGGCGAGGAAGCCCAAGAGAAGCCACCGGGCTTATACTGTACCAAACTGTATATAAATTCGGTCATCGATTTTGTTAGGGTGTAGTAATATAATTGTCAATAAATACTGTAAATTTGAGGACTAAACCCAAGATTATTTACTTTTCTGGTAATTAAGAATCTATTATTATCTCCTTCATAAAAATTAAGAACCTAATTAAGAACCTAGCTGGTCTATCTTGCCAATAAGTACCCCAAAATTTACCAGACTTAAAAGTAGGTTCTTATTCGCTGTTGTTTACTGTACGACTTGTACCCTCATCCGGTTGAGATGGTTGCGAGTCCTGTCAGTTTGAATTTAGTATATCTTGTCAAAGCTGTTGTCAGATAAACATTTTTTCCGCTTTCCCACTTTATATATTCGTACGTAGATTCTATCCTGTAGTACCATCCTGAAGGTTTTAAATGTGTACACGTACAAACTTTACGAAATAGAGATGGATGTTTTTAAGTATTGTTTTGTATTTTGTTGAAGGATGTTCATGGGAACCCCATACCTAAATGTAAATGGCCATCAGAGAACGACTGGAATAGTCGGTTTCCTCACCTCTTTCAGGTTAGTCATACTGAACTTCTTTTATGTAAGTTAACTTAAGCAATTTTGTTCTAAAGTTGAAGACTTTTAGTATTAATGTGAACAGTTCAATTTTTCTGTCCGTCCGTTACACGCTTAGCCTCCCATTAATAAATTTATAATTTAAAGCAAACAATAAACTTGTAATCCACAGATGATCCACAAGGGCACATTCGACGTTTGACTTTTGAGGAAAAGGCTAAGTGATTTTAGAGTGAAACAAATCTTGCATCGAGTTGATAGCCTTATATGTACACCCAAAAAACAGCACTGGCAATCGTCTTTGCTCACATTTAAGAGCAATAATGGCTCTTGACTATCACAGTAGATTAGGCGTGGAAAACAAATCAGGCCGATTTTTTGCGTTCGACAAGTTTACTTTACAAAATCTTGCCAACAAATCTGGGTGCGTGCGAACCAACCTTTTATACTTTTTATACATCACATCTGAGGTGAAAGAGTACTATGAGGCGCTGTTTTTATCATACAGACCTCAGACAATTGGCAGTCAGTTTCACAATTTTTCAAGACAAATTGCATTCACTCAATATTCAGGACCATCGAAACACGCGTGGGCTTTTAGCGAAATAGCCTGAAATTCATCCGATTGCTTCGAGTCGTTTTTTCCTCCCAACAACGTCTGAATCGACCGGCCGTTAATGCCGTCCAGAGACGTCACTCACTACCCGAAAACCGGGTAGTGATTTTGATTGGTTGATTGTCTAAACATTCGTATAATTATGTATAATGATATTCAGCGGATCGTATCCCCGACAGTCTTTTGTTTGGTTCAAACATTTCGATAAGCTCAATCTTTATCTTGAACAGCAAAATTGCCCTTGTCTTCGAAACTGAAATGCTAAATTGAACTGCGA